ATCGCTGAATCGCTGACAGCTTTCCTCGCCAAAAAAAAAAAAAAAAAGAAAAAAAATAAATTTAAAAAAAAAAAAAAAAAAAAAAAAAAAATTTTTATATCTCGATAACGGGAATAATTTATCCGCAGTCTGTTGATGATGTTAAAGTTTTTTGAATTTCGATCAAAGTGCGAACGTAAACGTGACACGATTTATTTGCATATTTACTTCGCAGTAGTTGAGATTGATTCTCATTAGCATATGTTTTCGTTTTCGTTACGTGCGAACAGAACCGCCTCTCAATGTGTGTAACGCCACGTTCGATCAGGCATGAACTGATGCCTCGTTGAATGGCACAAGGACTGAATCGAAACGGAACACAATGCCGGGCCCGCGTAATGCACGCGGAACTTGCACTCTTCCACGGAGTTTCGAGAAATACTGCGACATTTTCTCGTGCATACATCAAGTCGACTTCCGGACGGTATTTTGAGTGCCCCAGAATACGATATGCGGAAAGTATAGAGTTACAATATGCGAATTTATTTTTGAAATGTACGACTTTCGTCGCATCCTTTCCTGTGTTGTTAACTTTTTACATTTTTATTTTGCATTTAGATACATTATATATATAAAATTAATTAATTTATTATATATATGATATAGCATACTTTAGTTTAATTCATTTTTAATAAAATTTTACGATGCAGAAATAATATTAATAATATTAATTAACTTTATATTATATAAAGTAATAAAAATGATATCAAAATGTTATGATGCTGAAAAGACGTACAACAGATATATGTTGAGTCGCGAAACTCGTGAATAATTTTGCCGACGAGAACTGTTACATCAGTATATTTGATAATGATACGTAAGAATTTTTGGCAGAAACACTACCAACACAAGTTTTTCTAAAGTCAATCCACGTGTTCACATAGTAATTAAAGGCGTACTTCCAAAAAACAGCCACTACGCATTTTAAGAAATAAATTTATGAATAATTCAAATAACTTCTCCTTTCGAAATAACAGAAAATATATACCTCAGCATAATGCGTATTTAAGTGCGTGGTTATTATTGACGACATATTCAATTAATTAGCTAATGGAATGATGAAGCAGAATATAGTTTTTAAATAAGGAAATATATGTATTAATATCTTTGCGATTGAAAAATATGGTTACGCGGTATTTTAGGACTTCAATTATATTAAATTTCTAAATTGAATAATAAATATTAATTTTTGCAAGCACTCTAAAATTTGCATATTATTTCTCACAAGTTATTTTTGATATATATCTAATAAATGTTGATTTTCACTCAAATTTGATTCCGAGTAATTTACGAAAATTCAGAGAACAAAGCTATGAAAATTATCTGTACAGAACAAAGCTTCATTGAATTATAATCTTTTTAAACATGCTCCAAAACTGCAGTAATTGTGCCCATGTATGACGTTATATGGTCATAATCAACGTTTAAATTTCAGTTTAAATGGATGAAAATGTAATAAATTAGTAAAAATAAATTGAAAATATAGTTTTTATATTTTTAAATCAATAAATAAAAGCACTAAATTTTTTTGCGAAGAGATTAAATATAAAAAACATTGTTCTCAATCAGAATAAATGATTGTTTAATGGTAATAAATAATATTTGTAATAAATAATATTCTTATCGTTACATTTCATACATTTTCACGTTATATATGATATATGTGTATATAATATTTTTTTGTATTATGTTTGAGTAACACCGTTTCTATCACTATTACTTCCTACTCAAGATTCTCGTCGTGAAGAAAATTCCGGTATATATCTCAGTATCGATTGATGTCGTAGTAAGAAAGTTTACGAGAGAACCTCAAAGAGCATAGCGCTATAGGAGAGACATCGTCCGTCGTAAAGGAATCCTGCTGAGGCCAATGTGTTTAGCATAGTAAGCAGTCGAGCCTCCAACTAGAAGAGCCTTGGTTCGACATACGTGCCGTGTTCTGTAAAATAGAGTCACGAAACGTCTAAAATTCCATCTTGGCCCAGTCCCGGGCACATCGACAAACTTTGACAGCATCGTGAAACCGGCATCGCAGCATTCCTTCCAAGATTCATTTTGAAAGCAGGAAAACCCCGCTAAAAAGCCTCCATCACGTTTTAATTTAGTACTATTCAATGATCTTTGTCTTTTATTGCATTTATCGTAGATAAAAAGGACAAATATAATGACAAAAATAGAATACAAATGGAAATTGCGATGTTTCTGTTATTTTAGTAAATTCGACACATATAGCTTATCAAAACAAAATTTCGCGAATGCGAAATTGTGCACGTATTGCATGGAAACTAACATAAGTTGCTACGATATGCCCCGGTACATTAATTTCTTTTTAGTAATTATAATTAATTTAATAACTGCGCTTGTATAATTTGTTTTAAAATTGTCATCATGTGTAAAATCGTATTAAAAATTTTATTATTTTTCTACAAAACGGTAATAAATTTGTATTTACGCTCCAAAATTATTTAATTAGAGTCAGAGCAATTTTATATTTAATTAAAGTTTGATCTTTTCTCAAATACTATAAAATAATTTTTCACAAATGCAATCTTTCAAAATTAATTTATATAATATAAATTTTTTTGTATATTTTATTTGTCTTATGCTTGTTTATGTTAATATTTATAAACATTAACAATATAGTAAAAATTTTGTATAAAAATCTCTTTCTCTAACGAAACATTATTTACTAATAAAAATATTAATAACTGTACATATAAAAGCATCGATTAAAATTTTGATATTAAAGATTGGATGTAATTTTTTGATCAAATTAACTGACTACGTGATAGACAAAATCACAAAAAGCATACGTTTTGGTCCCTTTTTTTTGGACCATCCTCAGCGCAATTATAAAGTATAATATATGGAATATATTATATCAAAAATGTGACAATAATAATACGCGGAACAAGAGTAAGTCACCCATGTTGTCAGATGGTAAATGTGTGTTATGTAATGTAATTTCGAGACAGAAAGAGATTGTCCGATAAAATATATCATATTAAAAAATAACTGGCAATATAATTATATCGAATTCGAGTAAGTCACCCATGTTGTACAGAAGGAAAATGTTACATACGGAT